TTTAGGGATTTTATATACTTATATATGGAGCCTTTCACTGACCAAAACATATCATAATGAGGTCAAACCACTACTAAATGAAAGATAAATGAATATATTTTGAAAATAATTTTTGATCAAATTCTCTGTGGTTTGAAAGTTATGCCCATTTTCCTATAGGTATGTCGTCCTAGGTGTTCTGCGATGACAACATGAGCTTTGTTCAAGAACATCAAACAGTTTGGCAAAATTTAACCCAAAATTTGGGATTACCCCCTTTACGAAAGTTGTGTTTTCATGAGCCTAGATTGTTATAAAAGTGGTCTCAGGTCCAAATAATATTTTTATCTCATGATATGCCTTTATAAGTGGACTGTGTTCACTGTGAAAAGCCAGAAAAATGACATGATGATGTCTTTGAGCTATGAGTCGATGATATGATTATATGCATAGCATGCTTTGGACATGTTGATATTTCATATGAACTTGTATCTATTGTGATATGTGAGCATGTTAATCTATTGCTAATGTGAAATAAATATATAATAATGAGATATGTTCTGTTATAATATGAACGCATGTAGTAAGACATACTCAGTTATGATATGAATGCATGATAATGAGATATGCTCTGTTATGATATGAATGCATATAGTAAGACATGCTTTGTTATGATATAAATGCATATGACAATGAGATATCCCATATTATGATACTAATGCATGTAGTAAGACATGCTCAGTTATGATATGAATGCATGAAAATGAGATATGCTTTGTTATGATACAAATACATGTAGTAAAACATGCTCAGTTATGATATGAATGCATGATAATGAGATATACTCTGTTATGATACAAATACGTGTAGTAAAATATGCTCAGCTATAATATGAATGCATGATAATGAAATATGCTACGTTATGATATGAATGCATGTAGTAAGAGATGCTCAGTTATGAAATGAATGCATGATAGTGAGATATACTCTGTTATGATATGAATGCCTGTAGTATGACATGCTCTGTTATGATATAGGTGTATATAAAAGCATGCTTTGTTATGAAATGAATGCATGATAATGAGGCATATTCTGTTATGAAATGAAAGTATGCTCTGTTATGATATAAATGCATGTAGTAAAATATGCTCAGCTATGATATGAATGCATTATAATGAGATAAGCTCTATTATGATATGAATGCATGTAGTAGGACATGTTCTGTTATGATATGATATGCATATGCTCTGATATGAGAAGCAATGTGTGATATGATAAGAAATGTGTGAAGCACTATACAATGGGTAATCCATTGGTAGTGTAAGCTAATATGATAAGAAATGTGTGAAGCACTATGCAATAGGTCATCCATTGGTAGTGTAATATGATAAGAAATATGTGAAGCAGTATACAATAGGTCATCCATTGGTAGTGAAATATGATATAATAAGAAATGTATGAGGCACTACGCAATGGGTCATCCGTAGGTAGTATAATGTGACACGATAAGAAAGCTGTGTCGGCAGTTGAGATACTTCCCTGACTCCCCATGACAGGACGGGAGTTAGGATGTGAGTCACATGGGAGGGTCGTGCCCCCCAATATATGTGTATGACACAACGCAACGGGTCATCCGTTGGTGGTGTAACGCCTTCCAGCTAGAGAACAAATGAGGCTCATGTCTTGCAATGCTTCCACCTATCAAAAGCCCCAAGCACGTTGGGGATTGTGTGTATATGTGAAGACATTACAAAATAGGTCATCTATTTGTGGTGTTTTCCCTCCTGAGTGATGGTAGAAGTCCTAAGCAATGAGATTAACTTGGATTGATGGATATGACTTCTACTTCGGGAGTACGTGATATTAATACTATTTATGCTTGCCTGATTGTGTTGATTTATTTTAATGCCAATGCTTGAATGATATGATATCTGATTTGTTATTGCTCCACCATGAAAAGATTCACTCACGACACATTGTTAAACATAATTATGATACATAGTTCCATTTTTATAAGACTTGCATGAACCTTGAGTATGGTTATGAGTTACTGTGTGCAGGCATGAATGTGTGGCACCTTGATCTAGTTACTAGCTTTATAGCTCACTCATTTAACTTTCATCTATGTAGAGTGATAGCCTGCGCGTTGTGGACGGGCGGTTTGATGATCGCAGCTGATAGTTTGAGCTATGTACTCATTGTGGAAGCTTCTTTTTTATTATATGTTTTAAATGGCGGTTTGGCTATATAGTTCTCTTTGTATTGAAGCTATGTAATGTTTTGGGGCCTTTGGTGCCTTAGATTCTTGTAATACTTCGGAGGTTTTATATATTATTTGGAACTTGTTTGTCCAGCTCTTTAGTGGTTGTATAAGGTTGGAGTTTTGTTTTTCTTTTGTGGTTTTGCTTTGATTCATTCTTTTCAAGGCATTGAGCACACTCCCACATGAGTGGTATTTGCTACATGTGGTCGCTGACCCGCACCCTAATGCCCTTCAGCGTGTGTGGTGGGGGGTAGGGTGAGGGACTGTGACAGTCCTATAGGATCATTTCTCTATTATTTTTAATAATAAAATTTAAAGTTTAAAAAATAGTGTAGATTGTGCAGATCTATGAAAACTTGAAAATCTTGAAAACTACTAATCCAAAAATGTGTTACAAGATGCAATATTTTCGAAACTTGAAGTCCATTTTTTTCTCATGTCTATGCATCTTGATGTCAAAATGATCAATTTGAGGATACTTGGGCATCAAAACAACCTCTCTAGTTAAATTTTTGAGGTGGGCTCTAATTTGATTGTTTAGTACCTCGGCTCTATATAAACGTTTTCCTAAAATATATCACGATAAAATTTTTTTTAGATTGTGTGTTCAATTAGTGACACACACCCATCAGATATCACATCCAATGTTTGACAATGGTAGTGACCTTCTTATATCCAAAGTAAATAGTCCTATCACATACATTTCCTTATATGCATACTAAAAGGAGAGTTTCTTTTTTGCATACATGTCCTATAGTTTATCGTAAGGTTAATTACCATTGAGAGTATTTATTGTTTGATGAGATAAACGTTTGAATTAGATAAACGAGCACAATGGTACGACGTTGTGACACAAAGGCAAGCGCACGAGCTAGTTGTATGCTACAAGTTGAACCCTACATTCATTGTGAACATAGGACTCCTGCCGTACACCCTTCCCCCTACTCAAGTCAGTCCGAGCTCAGAACAACTCAAATTAGAAAATTAAATTAGTGGGTCGAATTGGTCACTAGCTGAACCAGACAAGGCTCAGCCAGTTCCAATCATTGGTTTTTTGAGGGTTTCTTCTATAAAAAAATAAAAATAAAAATAAAAAAGGAAAAATTTAGATACCCCCGTCACCCAACTTTCTAGACATATCCTTGTGCCCCTTCTAATGCTTTGTAAACCACATCACTAACCCTGATATTGTTATTTATTTTATTTTATTTAGCATCTATCCTCCAAGTAAAAAGTAATTTTTTAGAACGAAATGGCCACCCACTCAACCCAGTATTTTGGACCTCCTCTCTCTTTAAGAAAAAAAATGAAGTTGGTCTAATACAATGTCTACCAGACCGAATTCAACAAGGACAAGAGCTAGTTCAATACATATTATGCTAGACCGGCGTCATTGTTTATAATGAAGTGAAATAGGTTTAGAGGGGCATTTACATCTTAAAAAAAAATTATTTTTTTACTTGAGACGTGGATGTAAAAAAAAAAAAATTGTTGGAATTAGTGATGTAGTTTAAAATGCATTGGAAGCATACTTAAAGAGTTGAGTTTAGTGGGTATCTATAATTTTCCCTTTCTTAACCACGGGAATAATGTGCAGTATCTTTTATATTAGGAGGTCTAAATGATGTTCCCAATGAAAAACACCTGGGAACCAAGCTAAAATTGGGGCTCTTTGCTCCTATATTCACAACCCACAGGTTTCGAATTCGCTTGAGCCATTTTTTTATATCCATCTTAGAGATGGACGTTAGATGATCAAGAGACTGCAATAGGTGAGTCGGTTGACTCACCAAAACCATCACCAAAACAAAATCTAAACGGCACGTAGACCTTGGGTGACCACTTTGAAAAAGTGATTTGCCAAGAATTTGTAGGACACCAATGGTTTTTTTAAAAAAAATTTCATATAGAACTTTAATTACCCATCGTATCTATCGCTCTTTCAATTCACCACGTGGAGGGCTATCTCTCTCCTTCCCTCTTATACAGTGTCTCTCTAAATTTTACAGCCATTTCCGTTCTCTCTCTAAATCTCCCTTGGCTAATGGCCATGTACCATAGGATTTCTCTCTAGCGATTATGTACTATGTGATTTTTCTTTCTAACCATTTATCTCTTCTATTATTAAATTTTTTTTAACTTGATTTTGTTATGACCTTATAAATATGTCGTATATTTTATTAATAGATTGAGTAAAAATTATCAAAATTTACTTTTTAGTCTACAAGTTCAACAATTTCACTATGAGGTCCTACTACCTTGATTTTTATTTTTATTTTTATTTTTAGTTTTGGCCCAGTTTGATGTTTCAAATGACAAATTGCCTATTTTTTCGTTCTTTTTATGTTTTATTTCTTTACATTTATGACGCATTCCAATGTCTAAAGTATGAAACCATCCCATTTATAAGTTATGAAACCATCCCATTTATAAGGTACACCTACGACGATAACATTACATTTTTTGCCCGTACTTCTTTATAAGGTAGTTTAATGTTATAAATATCAGATCCCATCAATTTTTATGATTTTTTATATTCTAGTGGTCCAAAATTTCGAACATCAGATCACATAAAGTAGTTCTAAAGCACTTTGATGTTGCAATTATCATTTGGGCAAAAAATGTGAGGTTGTCCGATGTTACAATTATGGGACCACCCTACGAACGTGAGAGGTTCGACATATTGACATCGGATGACCCACTAATGTAAAAAATAAAAGAAGTGAGTGCTTTGATAGTTGAGGATCAAACAAGGAGCATAACCAAAAAACAATAAAAATAAGGAATGAATGACTTCGTCGTAAAATAACCAAAGTTAGAGACCGAAAGAGAAATTAAGTAATTTTATAATGATACGGGCGTAAATTTCTCTTGATTTATCGTGTGATATTTCTACTGAAATCTCCCTTGCATAACTGATGATGCTGCAGCTCCAATGGCGTTTCTATCTTTAGACCCTGTAAAACCCATATCTACTTGTCTCCGTTCTCATCTTTTATCCGAAAGTAATGGCAAAACTCTTACGCCCTGTCTTCATTTCCTTAATTTTCGAGGTAATTACAGTCCATTTGCTTCTTGGGTTGCTTCATTTCGATGTTTTGATGGTTCCAATCCCTTTGTTCTGCTCAAAACCAACAATAAAACCAGGTTTATTTGTTCATCTTCAAAACCCACTTCAGCAAATGCAAAAAAGTCTAAAGCACCCCCAAAACCAGTTTTCTGTGAGGGCAGGGATGAAGAAGAGGGCCAGCCCATATGTCCAGGTTGTGGGGTTTTTATGCAGTGTGAAAACCCTGATTTTCCTGGGTTTTTCGTAGAGAGGGATAATGAAGAAGACACGGAAGAAATTGATGGCAATTTTGATGATTTTCTTGGAGAATTCAGTGAAGAAGAAGAAAACGAAGAGGAAGAAGAAGGAGGAGAATCAGAGGAAGAAGAAGCAGTTACAGGGAGTGGAGATGAAAATTTTGATTGGGAAATGCCTGAAGTCATAGATGCTGAGGAAGAATGGGAGAAGGATTTGGATGGGTTTGCACCAGCTGGTGTGGGTTATGGGAACATAACCGAGGAAACTCTTTCTAGGAAGAAGGAGAAGTTGTCAAAGAGAGAGAGGAAACAGAAGTCCAGAGAGGCCATGAGAGAGAAACCCACTGCAACAGTGTGTGCAAGGTGTCATTCTCTGCGAAATTATGGCCAGGTAAAGAACCAAAAGCTCGAGAATTTGATCCCCGACTTTGATTTTGATCGATTGATTAGCACCCGACTCATGAAAACTAGCAATTCTGGTGCAAACACAGTGGTAGTTCTAGTAGTTGATTGTGTAGATTTTGATGGTTCATTTCCTCGGAAAGCTGCTGAATCCTTGTTAAAAGCACTCCAAAACGGCTCAAAATTGCAAAAATTGCCAAAACTTGTTCTTGTTGCCACAAAAGTCGATCTGTTACCATCTCAAATATCACCAACTAGATTAGATAGATGGGTTAGACACAGGGCTAAAGCTGGGTGTGCTCCCAAATTACGTGGGGTTTATCTAGTTAGTGCAAAGAAGGATTTGGGTGTTCGAAATTTGCTAATGTTCATTAAGGAGCTAGCTGGTCCAAGAGGGAATGTATGGGTTGTAGGTGCTCAAAATGCAGGGAAATCAACTTTGATCAATGCATTTGCAAAGAGAGAGGGAAATAATATGACCCAGTTAACAGAGGCAGCAGTTCCTGGAACTACGCTTGGTATTGTGAGAATTGGAGGGATTTTGCCTGCAAAAGCGAAGATGTATGATACTCCAGGTCTTTTGCATCCTTATTTGATGAGCCTGAGGCTTACTAGAGATGAGCAGAAGATGGTGGAGATTCGTAAGGAGTTGCAACCGAGGACTTATAGGATGAAGGTGCACTCTCCCTCCCTCCCTCCATCCCTCCCTCTATGGTAACCTAAGTTATGGTAACCGAAGTTTATGAATATCCCCTACTAGATGAAGTAATCTTCCGGAAAAGAGCTGGGACTGTATTAACAAGCATGCACCCATAGTAAATGGTATTCGGAAAATATATTTTCTGGATTAACTTTTTATTAGAATATCCTTTCATGATTTGAATGCTGCCTTTTACTTCTAATTTTTATTTATTCATTGCTTAGAGGTTTTTGTTCTGCATGTTTTCTTGATTCAATTTGTTGCCTTTTGGCGTTTGTAAGTTAAATATGTTGTATCCAGTGCATAATTCAGGCTCCGGTTAATGGTAAGAGAACCAGTCTGCATGAGGGAAGTCAAGTATTGAAACCTTGTAGTTTATCTCAGAAACAAACGATGCCAACCTGCCTGGTTATATGGAGCTCTTTCCATTTTTTTTCTCGATTCTGGTGACCTTTAGAACCCATGATCCTTGGCCTTTGGCTTGGGTGAAGGAAGTACCATAGAGCACAAATAAACTAACCTGGCCTTTCGTTTTTTCTCTTAGGCTTTCGCCTAGTGGTGGTCATATCAGTTTGGGTGAGGGAGGTCAAGAGTTCGAAGCTTTGAAGTTTGTCCCAAAAACCCCAAACAAGCTGACCTAGCTTTCCCCTTATTCTTTTTTAGAACTTAGAGCTCTATTTCTTTTTTTCTTCGTTTTTCTGTAATTAATTTTGAATTCTTCTGTAAAATTAATTGAGAACAACAGCATACAATGTTTACAAATACAAATAAAAAAAAAAGTTGGAGTATCCGGTATTTAGTTCTTGTCTTTGCACCCCACTCATTGGCCAAAAGGTCCATGAGCCCCACATTGTTATCCTGTAAAATATGGCAGAAAGGAATCGCAAATGAATTGTTTATCCGTTACCTGATATAGTAATCCGGAAACTTAGGTAACTAATATGTTTCAACCATTTTACAGGAAAGCACCACTCAATGGTGTGCTGATGAGGCATTTACTTCGGAATTTTTACGTCTTCCAACTGCGGTCATTAGTTTCTTGTCTATGATTTCCCCCAATAGAATATTTAATATTGTACTTTTCTACATTGGTTTCTGGTTTTTGGCTTCCCACTTCAATATTTATTAAATGTGTATAGAGGCCTAAACCTTTGGTTTCTTGATTCATGTGTATCTCTTCTCTGGGCTTCAGTTGTATGGAGTTCATAATTTAATTCTCTTTCTTTGTCTAGTTGCTGTTTATTGGTTTCTTCATCTTCTCTCTCTCTCACACACACACTCAAACGCACAGACATGGGGCTACCCTTTTATTTTGCCTAAAAAATAGTAATGCTCAACTTCTCTCTCTCTCTCTCTCTCACACGCGCGCAAGCAAGCAAGCAAGGGGCTACCCTTTCATTTTGCCTCTCAAAAATAGTAATGCTCAATTCTCCCATTAAACCTTGATTCTGGTCTCTGGATTTTGTTGCTTGAATGTTTTTAGAGCTGCATTTGACTCATTCTGTTATGTGGATTTAAATCTTTTCACCATTTCTTGTGTGATTTTTGAGCAGCAGATAAGTGAATTTTACATGACGTTGACCTTACCTGTTGCTTCATTTTTACATATTTCTCATCGTGGATGATGTTATAATCATCATTATTGCACCAATCGCAGGCAGGACAGACGGTTCATGTTGGTGGCCTAATGAGACTCGATCTAACTCATGCTTCCGTGGAGACCATCTATGTAACTGTCTGGGCTTCACCGAACATTTCACTTCATTTTGGGAAGATAGAAAATGCTGAAGAACTATGGAAAAAGCATGTTGGCACCAGGCTACAGGTAGCATTCTGGCATCTTCTTTTATTTAGTAGAGATTCCTTAACATACATCTAGTGGAGCTTCTGATCTGTCTCTCTTCTCAAATAAAAATAACCAACTCTCAATGAGCTAATTAAGCATATCGAGTATTATTGAGGAATACCACATAGGACGAAGGAAAATATTGGTCATGAACAATAACAATTCTATCCTAATGGAACAATGTATGCTGCAATGGGCTGTTATTATGTTGATATCAACCCTCACGTTTTCATACTCCAGAGGCCACCTTACTCTCAGTAGCAATTTGAAAGTGATAAAAACTACTCTTTACCGGAAAGCAATTTGTATTCTTACCCAAAACCAAATTGTGTTTGAATGTGGGCATTCTCTAGACCTAAACAAAAGGTGACCATTTATGAGCTTCCAGATGCACACATGCAGGCAACTTAAAAATAGCTCAGTGAATCCCATGCATGTATGGTATGTGTCTAAGTTTATGTATGTTTGTGTATGATGCATGTTTGTGTCTTGTATAGATTGATGCATGCATGCATGTGTATTTGTATGTATTTATATTTAATGAATCATATATGCATGAATCTCTGTTAAAAGAGTTTATTGTTTTCAGCCTCCCATTGGAGATGAGAGGGTTTCAGAGCTCGGAGAGTGGGGGCAACAGGAATTCAAGGTGTCAGGGATCAGTTGGGAAGTAAACAGCATAGACATAGCCATAGCTGGGCTTGGTTGGTTCTCTTTTGGGCTAAAGGGGGAGGCAACCTTGAGGCTATGGATATATGATGCCATTGATGTCACGGTAAGGGAGCCCATGGTTCTTGATAGAGCACCTTTCCTTGAAAGGTTGGGATTTTGGCTACCAAAGGCCATATCAGATGCTATAGGTAGGCAAAGTAAACTGGAATCAGAGTTGAAGAAGCTGGAAAATGAAGGGAAAGAGGAAGCAGCACTCTCAGAAGCAAAGGTTTGAAAAGGAAATATTACTTGTTTTTATAGCTGATAACTGCAGATTGGTCCATGCATTTTGATGGCATGGATTGGAAGTTCTTCACTGTTGACTGCGAAGGATTCGAGGCTGAAACGGCTTTAATGCCTGAGAGAGAGAGAGAGAGAGAGAGAGAGAAAGAGAGGGGTGTCTTTGTATTTGGTCCCTTGTAGTGAATAAGAAGCCTTTGTATGTAGTTTGCGAAACCAAGCACCATTTTTCAAGAAATCAAATTTTCTGTTTTTTTCATACCCTGCATGGGTTTCAGAAATCAATTTACTTTTAAAGCACGTTTGTGTTTTCCGATTTTTTTTTTTTCAGAGAGCATCTTCCCAGGAAAGAAGCATTTTCTGATCATTTTTCACCTGGGAAAAGGCAATCTATTGTAGAAAGTGAGAAAATATAACTTTTGCTCACTTCAAAGCATGGAAAAACGGTGTCCAATCTCTGGTGGTAAGAGCCATCATAGTTTGCCTATACCCTGTGGTCCCCCTGTTTTGCTCAAGTGGCACACCCATTCGCTTCCATCTTCATATTCTGCCTTGGCTTCCCTCTTCTCCCCATTAGCAAGAGAACCAAGCTCCTGCTATTATTGTTGTTCTTCTCTCTTATTCTCTGCCTTATTTGAGCTTCTTCTTCTACCCTTGTTTTGGGTATGACAAGGGTCTGCCCTTGGTTTTAAAAGAGAGAGAGAGAGAGGGGCGAAGCTTGGTCATTCTCGAGAGTGATCAACAGGCTTTAGTCCAGCTTGCTGTGGAAGTTCTGTGCTAGTTGCTGCTCAGCAATTCTTGATTGAGGTCTCTTGGTGCTTTGGAATCCCTTTCTGTCTTTGAACCAAGTTTTTTCAAGCCATGAGCGAATAGAAAGTAGTGTGCGTCTCCTTCAAAGCTTCGAGAGTTGATTTTCCTTTGAAGATATTTTGTTGCTCTATTTGGATTGTTGTCTCAACCCCATTTTGCCCACAAGAAACCAGCGTTCATGAACACGGGCCAAGGTTTTTTTAGTAATGAAGTTAGTGCGGATCTTTATTAAAGTTGCAGTTTGGTGTGGGGTTGTCTTACCCCTCTTGCAAAACGAGAATTGCTGCCATTAATGGAGCTTGGAGGAGTTGCAGTGGAATAGAGGAGTTTGGAGGATTAGGTCAGGTTGAGATAGCATGGGAATCTCCGGTCCTGTACTATGTTCCTCGTTATTGTACTTGGTTGTGATAATGGCCTTCTCAACAACCAAAAAAGCAGAACAGAAACCCAGTCCAACCAACCAATCGTGCTCACATCAGCAGCAGCAGCCATAGCCTCTATGAACTCTTTGATTCTAGACCTGTGGATCGTCCTAAATTGTTCCCCAGAGCTGACTTGGTCATGCCAATGCCGCCGCCGACGATGGAGAGACTGTTGTAGGCCTTGCCCCTGTTGTAGGCCTTGCCCCGGAAAATGTGTACGAAGGGCTAAGGCTGGGTGTCAAGCTTGCTCTTGTCTGTGAGACTCTCAAACTGTATCTTATCCAGGGCATTAGCGGCATTGTTTATGAGAGTTCCTTGATTAAGAACTCCCTCATCGTTGTTGATGTGAGGTTGAGCACCTAGTTTATCCCTGCCCGAAAGCGATCACCTCAGCATCGTCAGCTATGACTGTGTTGTTGATGATCTCAATTACTATTGATCTAAACCATCCATTTTGTAGTCATATTATAGATAAATAATCTTAATTTAAAAGTTTTGATATGTAATTATAAAAAATTTTAATGAATGAAAAAAAAAAAAATGCTGCTTTTCAGATTTTTTGAAAACAATTTCCCTGGTGGTTATTGAAGAAACAAAACCGATTTTTCTAGAGGATTTGGTTTATATTAGCCGGGAATGTTTCAAGAGAAGTCATTTTCCTGAAAAAACAATTTCTAGGGGAAAATATTTTAGCAAAACACAAACGTGCCCTTGAATCCTCATATTCTTGGGGCAGGGGTTTAAGGGTGAGGTTTGTATAAGGTATCAATTTTATATTATTGCAGTAAGGTGCACCCCAAAACTATGCGGAAAATGCAGTTTTGGTACGGCAAAGTATGAAAATTTATTGTTGCTTGCAATTATGAAATTTAAAGTTCCAAAAATGATGAAGTTCAAGTAGATCTATTAACACTAAAAAATATTGAAAATGGATGGTTTAGAAATGTGTTAGAAGACATTATTTTTAGGACTAGAATTTTTTTTTTTTTCTTTTCATGTTTATGAATCTTGAGGTGAGATGATCGATTTGTGGGTTTTCAAGCATGGGTACAATCTTCTCTAGCGGGGTTTTTAGGTGCATCTTACTCGTACAGTGTAAACTTGAGGCGGTGGTTGATTTGGAATGGATAGGAGACCTCGTAAAAACGACTGATCCTAATTCTTGTAGGCTAGATTTGAGGGAAGATAGGAAACTCGTGTTCATGTCAAATCTAATAAAAAGTTAGGTTAAAGATGATGATATAAGTGCTTTTATATTTGAAGGAAAGGTATTTTCTACTTGTAAAGTATTTTCCACTTCATGTACTCGCATCGCCCGAAAATGCATATCCAATATTGGGAATTACGCAGCTAGATCATCTCTACGTAGACGATCATAGATTTGAAAATTCAAGCCCTATTAATAGTTCATCTTGTAACAAATTTTTTTGGACTCTCTATTTCATAGATCTAAACTATTTTTGGAGATTCAATTCTATAATAAAGACATGAATAAATTTTCAGACCATCACAAAATTCTCAGAGTGTTAAACTCTCCTGTACTGAAACTGTGAGGTGATCTTCAAAGAGCTATCTATATATATGGTAAATAAATATGTTGTATGATCACAAGAAGTATGAAACTTACAAACATCCATTATTGGATTGTTCTTTACCTCAACTAATTTGGAAAGCCATGATTGCCGGACTCAACTTTAAAAGATACATGAAACCTAAGATTGCAATAAGAGATGGTGGCTTCATTCAAATTTCCATGATTAAAAAATTGTAATTTACAAAACATCTCCTACTATGATATGACATGAAATTGGCTGGTTAGTGATCTTTCTGTCATGTGTTTTTTATTTTAAGGACCTGGTTTGTATGCAGCTAAGCCTGCATATGTAGAAATGGGTTCTTCTTAATAAATCCATTTTTGAGAAGGATTTTAAGACTTGAGTTTTAAGGACATGTAATATTTAATATGGATATCATAAATATGAAAAAATAAATAAATTTAAAAAATAAATAATAATAATTCTAGTGAAAAACATTTGGACTGTTAGTTTCCATTGTTTTTAAATGAAACACCTACTTGTATCAACCTTTAAGATGAATGCTTTACACTTTTTTGAGTGCTAAAAATGCGGTCCAACCCGCATGAAACAATTTTCCTTTTTTTAATCCTTACATCTCTTTCCTTCTCTCACTTACATAGCAAAAGAGAAGCCCACGAAAATCATTAACACATGAAAATACCTTAATAAGCAAAAGTTTAATAAAAATTAGCTAAACGAAGAGTGTGGTGTAACTAGCGATACAAAAATGGGGAAATCTTATTATACATCCCCATCCCGATATATTTTATTTACATCCCTCATTTTTTGATCGTTCGATCTGAATGGACAGCTAAGATGACCCCAATTGCAGTGTCGCACCTAAGCACTATGTTTTTTTCCGAGAAATGATACTGCCACAAAATTTGGGGCATCCAATCCTCTCTTAAATCGCACCTACAAAAAATATTAAAAAACTGTTCAAGATAAACTCCTCGGGACTATTTCATTTGGTTTTGGTAAATAATCCTTTGAAGACTTCTTAGAGTTTGTCGAGTCCACAGAGACGAGGATGGAAGAGAGTTAGAAAAAGAGATATAATTGAAGCGGGGGTTTTGGAGGGCCGTCCCCACTAACATCAAAGTATCAAAAGGAAAATGGTTTGATAGGGCTGCAGGTCTATCAAAGTACCTCACCTTACCTTATAACAAGTCTAAGCATTGTAAAACCTTTACATCGATCAACTCAACTTGAATATTATGGTTGTGAAAAATATGAAGATTTCAAACTCATAAAATTAGTATATATTGTAATGAATTATCGAATAATTTATTTTGCTTTAAAAATAAGTGTTAACATATCAGCAAGATCTATACCATTTTTTAAGTTTCAAATTTTATTGTCGATGTTGAAAATTGGTTTTAGAGCCATCATAGAGATTTATGTTGCCGAAGGTACTTTCCGAATGAAAATTTGAAGTGAGGCTTTATATTATTTCCATAAAACTTGGGCCTTATAGAAACCTCATCCACATCGAAATAACTTTTTCCATCCCAAAAGACCTATAAATGGAGAAGCAATTTGAATTTCTAGAGATAAGACCGTACTATAGATACCCACTTTGAATTAGTTAAAAAAATTGTGTATTAGGATTAATGAGTAGAGAGAGATGATAGGGCTTGAAAATCGAAGAGAGAATAAATTGGAAGTGTTTGTTAGGAGAAAGTTCAGTGAACTCTTTTTGGTCCCACATTGGGGAGGTAGGAGAGAGAATTGGGAGGCAAGGCACATAAATATGGTGGTAGGGTGATAGGCAAAGCATACTTACCTGGGCGGGGTTGATCGGTGTTCAGGAAGGCTGATAGCCTAGGGCGGCTGCTCCCATTGCACATGCGGGGGTGGGTCTCCCTACCATCCCTCTTAATGAGGGAATGGACGTCATAATTTGTGGCAGGGGGGGTACGCGTTCGCGCGGCCCCCACTAAATCCAAAATCGAAATTTCTTAGAGAATCAAAACATACCAAGAATCCCATATCAAAATTTCCTAAGGAACCATTATGTCTTAATGGAAATGGTATCGAATTGGTTTTTATCTTGAAAGTATTTATTTATAAAATATGTTTCTGGTCTGTAATACCCTAATCAAATTTTGTAAGGCTGAAGCCGTAGGCTGAAATTGTTGTGGTAAATTTGGAAATTAGTCAAGTTTTGTAATTTTCTTTGTAAAGTTATTTTTAAAAAAATTGACGAATTTCCTTATAAAGCATGGTAAGGTTGTTTCAGTAGTAAATATCATCATCATTATCCTCATGGCATTTTTCTAACTATTTGGGGTACGCCACATGAATTTTAAACCCATACCTTTTATGTGGTAAATATAATGTGATTAAATTTATGTAAAGACGTTGCAGTTATGGTAAATATTTTACAACTAATTTTATATATGGGGTGAGTCATTGTATAATGTAATCAAATTTACGTTAGGGGTGTAGTCGTTGTGTGTAACTGTGTTATTATGGTAAATATGTTGTGGTAAAGTTTATGGTGTATAGGAATTGGACTTGGGCTTGGGCTTAGGATTGTATAGTTAATAGCTGACGTCTAGTAGCACTATATCTCAAGTTTGATGCTTACGATTGAAAGCAATTTTGTACCCACGACCAAATTATTTTGTTTTTATTTATAGGCCATATCTACTAAATTTGGGTGCATTATCCTTTAAAGATTCTTTCTATGGTTTTCGACTCTACCTTTGCTGCCGTTTTGCTCTTGCTTTGTCAATGGTAACAAGGTCTACCTTCCTCGTTCCAGGTAGCCTACTTATGCATACCTTCTTGGCGTTGGAAATCCAAACTATGCCTACTTATGCATACCTTCATGGCGTTGGAAATCCAGACTATATTGTTTTTATTTCCGCAACCATAGATTAAAACCTCTGTTGCTTTTGTGGATCCATAGCCACGGTTAAAGCTGTCTTGGATTTGGTGCTATCCAAAATAACCCACATTAGGAAATCTCATATTACATGAGATTGAGATTGATATTGGTAAGTTTTCTAAAGGAAATAGAAATCCAAAAAGATTACGACTCTTGGATGGATATATCTCTTGATTTTTGAGATATATGTAACATCTATAAGACGTTTCCTATTTAGTTTGGATTCTTAATCATATATATATGGGATGAAACGTTAGATAATTTATGTGCCCTATTTGGGTCATCATATGAGAATGGTAGTAGCTTCTTCTAGAGAGATAGCGGGGGGCAGAGCCGCCTATGCATTAGATACAAGGTTTCCTCTTAGAGAGAAGATAACTTCTTATGGATAGAAACATTGTGATGATACCTCTTGTAGATTCTGAAGATTGAGATGTTTGTTTCTTGTAGAGAAGTAGTTCCCATGGAGATTTTGACTTGTTTTTATTTTTAGTGAGATAAAGTCTCGTTTGCTCTCAAAGTTATTATCTTCCCAGACAGTGGTCTAGTTATGGTCTCTTCTTAGACAGTGGTCCAGTTATGGTCTCTTCCTAGACAATGGTCTAGGTATGAAATAGAGATGAGAAATAGACAATGGTGTAGTTTGTGAGAGTAGGTTTAAAAGGGTTTGTTTGACTTGAGTTTTTGTCGAGGTTTAGAGAGGTAACTCTATGTTTTAAAATATTTGATGTAACTTTAATTAGAATAGTGAATTTCTATTTGCTGTGCCTGTGGATGTAGCCCTTCTGGGGTGAACCGCGTAAATCTTTATGCTTTTGTATATGTGTGTTTTATGTTTTATTTATCGTATTTTATTTGCCAAAAATAACCCATCAAGTTTAGGGCTTCCGGGTACAACAAATGATATCAGAGTCTGGTTTGAGGTTTTCGATATTGCAGTAAAGGTTTCGCATGCAAGGTTCAAGGTAGAAAAATTTGATAGCAAACACA